AAATACATTTGCGTCGCACTTTTCATTGTCAAAATCAGCATCTACTTAACTGACGCATTCGTTTTTCTATTTGCATCAATTTTGCTTCTATTTGCATCCATATTTTCTCATGCAAATGAGGTTGCATTCTTTAAACATATGATTTTATAAGCAAAATTTTTACAAACAGTACACTTTATCATTTAAAATGATTAAAGTGAAATGAAAAATTGGAAGTTTAAATTTTGAATGTGAATTGGTTGGTGAAAAGGATGAGGGAAGAGTACTCGAAATTGAATAGGATGGAAATGAGCATATGGCAGTGTTGTGAGCTCTTGAATGAGGTAGTGGATGACAGTGATCCTGATTTGGATGTGTTGGGAATGGAACCAACATTCAACCTAGGCGTTGTACGGTAGGCCCAATTGTTTCTCCCAAAGCCCAAAGCTGCCCAGAAGGAAGATACACCCATGCACTAGCCTTGACATACCCACGTGGGTGCCCGCACGTGGGTCGATCGGATGGTTACACGTATAGCCTTATGCCATCACTCGAGGGCTATAAATACTCCCACCTACCTCCACTTAAGATAATAACTCCACTATGCTTCTCTCTCTGCAATTACTCTTGAGAGCTTCTTTCTCTAGAATATCGAGTATTGCTAACTTGAGCGTCAGAGTGTTTTCCCCAAGGAAACATCCTCAGGTTTTTCAGGTGTTGAAGCAGTTGAAGATCTCCATAGTGTAGGTTGTGAAGTTGTCCAAACATTTAGGTGCTGTCTATGGGAAACCTAAACAAAGAAGTAGCGTTGCAAAGTGGAAGCTAAACATGGTGTGAACCTTTACTAGTAACCACCCTCTACAAGGAACGGGATAGATGATCAAGACGATACTAATCTTTCAAAGTTTGACCTGAACAACTTTCGGCCAATGTCGAGAGACCTTTTTGTAGGAGGAGAAAAGGAAGAACAGTTGAACAGCTTAGACGATGAGCAAAGACCTACTAGGTATGCAACCCAGCCTAAAGAGCAGTTTCAGATTCCAACGAAAATAAGCCAAAGGTACCCTAGACATAATGCTTCACAGCGTGGAGGACTCATAGAATTTGCTTGGATGTCCAAGCTAGAAAAAAGAACCAAAGTTCTAGAAATGGCCATGGGAAGGATTTTCTCCCGCCTAATCCCTAATGACCCCTTGATTCCTTTGTTGAATAGGGGTGAGCAATCAGCAAAAATTGCAACTCGCAATTCCTTAACCTTGAGCAATGTAGTGGTTTCAACCAAGCCAAAGGGAAGTGGGAAGTCAAATCTCGAGCCCAGCTCGTCAAAGCACAATGAGGAGTTGATGAGGAAAAATGAAGAGCTTGAAATGCAACTTAAGGACATATAGAAGTTTGTTGACGAGTTGAAGAGTCCGAGGTCGTGTCAATAAGCTCTGGATTTAGATAGTGCCCCTCTCAACCTATACATTATGCAAAACCATATCATGAAGGGTTCAAGATTCCTCACTTAAAAACATATGATAGCTCTAGTGACCTAGATGAACACTTGCACACTTATCAGGCCATCATGAAAATCCAAAACGCAACTCACGCTTTGATGTGCAAAGTGTTCCCTACAACCTTGAAGTCGACCGCTAGGAGATGGTATCACAAGCTTCCCAAGGATTCCATAACTTCTTACTCCCAGCTTGCTACCTTGTTCTCTAATAAGTTTGCGAGTCAGCGAGAATAAAACGCATAGCCACTCAATTGATGCAAGTACATCAAAAAGAAGGAGAATCATTAAGGGACTACATGCAACGATTCAACAAGGCCATCTTAGACATTAATAATATCCTTGACACCATCTATTTATTTGCTTTATTACATGGCCTCAAGCCTAGTCGATTCCTAAATGACCTGCTAGAAAATCCACCAAAGTCATGGAATGAAGTGAATGATAGGTCAGTAAGCTTCATCTTATCAGAAGACTTTCTGTCATCTAAACGAAAAGCTGACAATAAACAGAATAAATAACACAAGCAACTAGAAGGAATGGAAGACAAGAAAAAACAGAAAGTTGTCGATCAAAGAGGAAAACCACCTGATTTTCCAAAGTATGCGAATTATACTCCTCTAAGCTCATCGAGATCTCAAATCTTGGCACAAATCCAACACTGGGTCAAGAGGCCACCCCTTCTCTTCATGATTCCCCACGAGCAGATAAGAGTAAATATTGTGACTACCATCGTGGATATGACCACTATACAGACGACTGCCAAAGTTTGAAGGACAAGTTGGAATTTCTTGCTCGCAATGGGAAACTAGAAGAACATATCCAAAAATCTTATACTCAGTAGCCTGGTCAAACCCATTATGTACAAGATTACAACCGACCTCACGGGCAGGGATGCCAGGTCGGTAAGAATTAGAACATGTATCAAGGGAATCTGCCCCCTCTAAGCTCGGTAGGGGCTACAAAGGATGTCAATTGAATAAGAAAGGCTCAAGATAGAGGATCACTACTCAAAGCTAAAAAGACAATAAAGGGATAGGCTATACCAGAATACCTCCGCCTGGAAGCACAATAAACATGATCTCTGACAACATGCATTAAGGAGGCCAGAGTGCCTGAGGTTGCAAAGCCTATGCTCGTCAAGTAATGACTATAAACAAGAACAAGCCTTTAAAGTGACTGTTTGAGGAAGCAAAATGGGAAAACACACCCATTACATTCAACCCCATAGACTACAAGCGATCAGAGGGAGAATCTGATGTTATGATGCCCCACGCTAACCCATTTATGGCAACAGTCCACATAGCTAATCACAACATTAATAAGGTCTTCATTGATATAGGTAGCTCTCCAGACATTTTATATTAGAGCTGCTTTCAAAAGATGCAGCTGAACCTAACTTGCTTAAAGAAATATGAAGGGCCTATATACGGGTTTGACAATCAACCCATTTTTGTTGAAGGAGCGGTCACCCTTCCCATCTATGTGGGTATTGAACCATGGTTCAGGACAACATCAGTGAGCTTCTTGGTAGTTAAAATGGAATTGGCTTTTAATGTCATAATTGGAAGAGCCACACTTTGTGAACTGAAGGCCGTCATCTCCTAGCCATATCTCTATAAGAAATTCCTAACTCCCCATAGGATTAAAGTACTTAAGGGAGACCAGAAGATGACTAAAACATGCTATCAAGACACATTCAAGAAGCTCGAGCTCACAACAGCACCCAAGGTCTCACCTTCTCAAGTTTCCAGGCCAAGCCAGCCAGGCTTGCAAACGATGAGCATTTCAGACATAGATCATCAACATGAAAGGATAAAGCAAAAGGCTAAGCTAATAGAACCGGTGGAGACAGTCCCTTTGAACCGTGATGAACCAGAAAAGATGGTGAAAATTGGAACCAAGCTCACAACAGAGGAAAAGGTTGAGCACCTAAAATTTCTAAAATCCAACTAGGATGTCTTCGCGTGGACAACAGATGAAATGCTAGTAATCCCAACAGAATTTGCAGTCCACAAGCTCAATATAGATCCTACAAAGAAGCTAGTGGTTTAGAAATGCCACCTTTTTGGCCCCGAAAAGCAAGCCGCTATAGATGAAGAAATACAAAAGCTATTACAGGCTGGCTTCATCGGACGAGTTGAATATTCGCAATGGGTATCCAACCCTGTGCTCGTTAAAAAGCCTAACGGGAAGTGGAGAATATGCATCAATTTCACAAACTTGAATGAAGTGTGTCCTAAAGACCCCCACCCTCTACCTAATGTTGAGAAGTTGGTAGAGCGTGCAACCGATCATGAGCGCATGAGCTTTTTAGATGTCAGCTTGGGATACCATCAAGTTCAGCTATGGTTGGACGACCAAGAAAAAACAGCATTTTATGCAGGGGACGCAATATATTGTTACATCATGATACTGTTTGGGTTGAAAAATGCTGGCATCATGTATCAAAAAATTAGTTAAGGTTGTGTTTAAACTTTAGATCGGCAGAAACATCGAAGTTTATGTCGATGATATGATTGTCACTAGTTTACGATCTGAAGACCACATTAACGACCTGAATGAAACCTTTCAGAACTTGTACCAAGCATAGATGAAGTTAAACCCCTTGAAGTGTACATTTTTTATGAAATTAGACAAGTTTCTGGGATATGTGGTATCTAAGAAAGGAATCGAGGTAAACACAAACAAGGTTCAGGCCGTGCAGTAGATAGAGCCTTCCAAAACAGTAAAAGATGTGCAACCTCTGACAGGTCGCCTCGTTACTTTGCACAGATTCATTGCCAAGTCAGCAGAAAAGTGTCTCCTATTTTTCAAAGCTTTGAAAGAACCCAAAAACTTCTAGTGGACTAAGGAATGCCAAAAGGCTTTCGATGAACTCAAACAACACTTGATGTCCGCACCCTTGCTCTCCAAACCTGTTGAAGGAGAGATGCTATATTTGTAACTAGGGATTACTAAAGAGGCGATCAGCTCGGTTTTGTTAAAAGAACAAAACAAACATTAGAAACCTATCTGTTATACTAACAAGGTCCTGCAAGGTACAGAACAAAACTACCCAATTATTGAAAAAACTGCTCTCGCCCTCATTTGCACCGCTCAAAATTGAGGGCCTACTTTCAATCTCACCAGATATTTGTTTTGACCGACCTACCACTGAGGAAAATATTATAGAAACTTGAGCTTTGTAGTAGACTAATTGGATGGGCGGTCGAGTTGAGCTAGTATGACCTCAAATTTGAACCACGTACAACCATAAAGGGTCAAGCCTGGGTAGATTTCCTAGTCAAATGCCACCCGATGGCTGTCAAAGAAACTACGGCCTCACACCTTGTGTGGGCATTATACATAGATGGAGTTACAAGTGTCGAGGGATCAAGGGTAGGAGCGGTGTTGATAGGTTCAGATGGTTTCAAAATCAAGCATGCTTTAAGATTCAAATTTCAGGCAACCAATAATGCCGCTGAGTACGAAGCACTCATTTACGATTTGAAATTAGCATATGAGCTGAAAGCACAAAACATAAGAATCTTTAGCAATTCTCAGCTCATTGTAAATCAAGTGAACGGGAACTGTGATATTAAAGACCCTCAGCTTGTTCGTTACTCCTCTGTAGTCAACAAATTAAAGTCAAAGTTTTGCCTCTAGACAAGATACCAAGGGTAGACAATAAACCGGCTAACGAATTATCCGAGCTAACGAATTATCCTAGCTAACTTCGTCATAGGACATCAACCCTCAAAGAACAACATACATTAAGGTAATTGATGCACCGAGTTATACTGACCATGTACTTGAATATCAAGTGCTAAGCACTGATCCCTCATCATCGAGCTGGACCATGCCCTTAGTTAATTATTTGCAAAATGGTGAACTGCCTGAGGACCCATTTGAGGCTTAACTAATTAGGCCCAGAGCAGCTCATTTCACCTTAGTTGATGGTCAGTTGTATAAACGAGTAGTCTCAATGCCTCTATTACGCTGCCTTACTCCTTATGAAGCTGAGTATGCTGTGAGAGAAATCCATGAAGGAGTTTGTGGCACACATATAGGCAGAAAAATGTTAGCCCAGAAACTATTAAGGCATGGATATTACTGGCCTAATGTGGTTGATGATGCACAAAATTATGTCAAAAAGTGTTGAACCTGCCAATTTAATTCCAACGACATTCACATGCCAAGAATCGAGCTCATTCTGGAATTTACACATAAGCTTAACCATGCGTTCACACTCGTATCTAGGCTAAACATGAATATCTCCTTTGATACAAGAGAATTGTTATCGTCTCTCATATCGCCTTGGCCTTTTGCTCAATGGGGAATGGACTTGCTCGGTCCTTTCGTTAAAGGCAAAAGAGGTTGTACACATATCATTATTGTTGTGGATTACTTTACCAAGTGGATAGAAGCTAAACCATTATCCACAACAACTGAAAAGAAAATAGAAGAGTTCTTATTCAATTATATATTGTGCATGTACTCTTCAAAGGGTTAAACCATATACATTATATGCACACATATTCTGTGGCTTAGCCAATTTGTTGATGTGCAAATTCAGTATCCCTAAGCAAATTATTGCTGATAATGGACCTCAGTTTCGAGTCGCTGCACTTAGGTCATTCTATGATGATTATGGCATTGAACTTGCTCTTACTTCCATTTCCACATCCTAGTCAAATGGACAAGCAAAGTCGACGAATAAAATCGTCCTGCATGGCCTTAAAGCGCGTGTCCTAGCTACTCACTCAAATTGGGCTGATGAGCTCAACAAGGTGTTATGATCATGCCGCACCACACCTAGTTCGACCACTGGTGAGACCCCATTCTCCTTGGCGTATAGAACTAAGGCCATCATTCTCGTGGAAATTGGTTTGCTGAATAAGAGGCCTACTTGGTGTGGTGAACGAGCAACTCCTACGAGAAATTCTAGACCTTATGGAAGAGGTTAGCAAGACATCTCGTATGAGAAACATGGTTTATCAAGGTTATGTTGCCAGATTTTACAATAAGAGAGTGCGTGCTCATTAGTTTCAAGTCGATGACCTAGTTTTACGCAAGCTGGGCTCACTAATGCTTATTTGCACATGAGTAAGCTTGCCCCTAATTGAGAGGGTCCTTACATGGTTATTACTATTAAACAACCTAGATCTTATTTGATGGCAGATTCACAAGGTCATTAGTTACCATTCACGTGGAATATACATAATTTCAGGAAATATTATAATTAGCTTGTATGGTTACCTAGCGTAAAGAGAAGATGTAAAGTGTATGTTCAAAGTTTAATGAATGCATAAGTTCTACAAAAAGTATCTTCCCAATTGTATTTCTCTTATATCATAATTTGCAATACAAGAGAAAATATGGAAATTGTTCAAAACATCAAAACACAAATACACAAAATGCAAAAGAAAATGAAAAACCTAACACCCTAGTCATCCATCAAGTTTACAGAGATAGATGCGTCAGCATGAGCTGGAGGAGAATTAGCTGAAGCGGCAAAAGGCTGAGAAGTTGATGGAGTACTAAAAGGTTCAACCTCTGCCTTAGGCACCCTGGCCACCCAAGCGTCAAAGGTTGGTAAACCCTCCAAATCCTCCCTTTCTTCAAGAATAAATGGAGGCCATGTGGGCACTCCATCCTCGTTCAATTCCCATTTTAGCTGCATGGTGGTGTAGGCTAGAGAGGTGAGACTCTTACCTTGCTCGTCAATTTCCTCCCCCTTAAAAAAGGCTAGGCTCACCAATTGGGAAGTCTAGTTGATGCCGTAATACCCTTCCGCGGATATCATCATAGATCTGCATTGCGGTATTCATCAAGGTAATGACTACGACATCCTGAAACATGTCGGAGCTGACCAGCGACTCTGCCCCCTAAGCTTGGGCAATGCTTATAAAGTGTTGGTAAGACCTCTTTGTCTTCTTCAAGGCTTCTTCAATGCACACAAGATTTTGGTTTGTCGCAGCCACCCATTGCCTTAAGGAGCTTAGCTCATTCAGAGCATTATCCCTCTTAAACTCCACCTTCTTGTCGCGTTCTTCAACAAGACCAGCCTCATCCTTGGTGGCTTGAATGCCACTTGCCTTCTCAGCTAAAGCCTTATCCAACTCCTCCTTCAACTCATTCACCTTATTCGCCAACTCGCCAGCTCAGCTCTCAACTGATGCAACTCTATTGGCCATCTCTGAGGTCCGTAAACAATTAACCTCATCTTCTAAGCTTGCCTCCTTGGTAGTTAACTGCTTACAACTTTCAATGAGCCCACGGCCTGTCCTCGTGCCCCTTGCTCACACTCAAACAACGCAACTGCATAGTTAAAAGCCTGCCACACAATTCATACTACTATATACTAGCATAAGATTTAGAAGACCTTATGACACAAATATTTGATAAAAAACTTATGTCCATCAGTTTCAGCATAGCAGCATGACCGTCATTCTGTTCTATGTAGCTTTTGGCACGTTACCGATCTACAAGAAGAACAAAACTTTGCATACCCTATAGCACGGCAACATGGTAGTCTAGTTTCGTGTAGCTGAAACCTTTTGGGTACACAATCCTCGGGCTAGATGCAGATGCGGATGTTGATGCCGACTCAATCTCAGTACCATCGTGCGTAGGGGCAACGAGCACGTTAGATGAACGTGCTACGACAAGATGAACCGGTTGAGTCCCAGAGCTCATTTGTCGCCGAATAAGCAACATGTCGTTCTCAGCATCTGAGTCCTCATGTGCACGCTTTCGGGAATCCAAAGTAAGGCTTCAACTCTTTGCTCGGCATGGGATCTTGACACCAAGTTGGAACCTCATTCTCGGTGGGATGAGCTGCAAGATGGCACCATGGGTTGCTCATTAAAATGAGTTTGCCTATGCGAGTTGGGTTTTGCTTGATGACCTCGTGAACGCTGAGCCCGCTCACACTATCTCTCCAAAACGCTACTCATTTCTCCTACACAAACAAATGCAATAAGCCTTAGATCGACTAATAAACAAAATTGTCAAAAGAAATATGCCTTCCCTATAGAGGTTTGCAGTATCCACAAACCCAAAAACTCTTAATTGGTCCAGGGTAACCAAGCTTTCTAGATTTACAAACCCCTCCATTTTCACATACGCCAACAATTGATTCTTCAAATCCATATCGCGAGGTGTCAGTTGGGGATAGTTCATATATGTATTTGGAGTGTGCCACTCAAAAATGAGAGCAGCGAGCTCGTTATTCATCCTTTCCGTTCGCGTATCATGAACAAAAACGAAATGTCTCTTCCACCTCGCTACTTTATTCTTTTCGTTCTTAAAAAGTATCATCTTTTCTCTTCCAGAGATGTAGTACCACCTCATTTGGTTGCCACTCAACCGACGCTAGAACAACGACCTAAAGACTACCACCTTTGTAGGTATCTCTAACCTCGCACACAACAACATAAATCTTATGATAAATTTTATGCTGTTGGGGGTCAGCTGTGTTAGTGCCAACTTGTACTATGCTAGAATATAAAAAATTAGCCCAAGTAGAGGAAACAACAAGCCAGCATCAAAGTAGTCCATGTACACCAACACCCAGCCCGTTCATGATACTGTGCATGCCTTTTCATTTTTTATGCCAATCTAGATCAAAATTGTTCTAGGGATCTAAAATTGTCTCACCATTTCTCCCAACTTCTTAAAACCCTTTATTGTAGCAGCACCATCAGTTACCTCATGATGCAAGGTCGCCTTGAATCTAAAACTAGCATGCAAACTCTGTGGTGCCTTGCGGATGTTGTCTAGTTTTCCACCAATGGTTTTATTCTCCCATTCTTCAACCATTGGGGCACTTTCCTCTATATTTGTCGTTGAGGGACTGCCAAGGCCTGTCCTTGCACCTTCCTCGTCACTGGGTGTCCCCTTAGAAGATGAACTCTTAGAGGATGGAGAATGGTGGTCACCGGAACGACTGGTAGTACTTGAATTGGCGCTGCTTTCTAGAGTGATAGACTCTGGCAAGTCTTGCAATGCCGATGGCACTACCATGGCAATCGGCTCCACAGAAATTACACCCTCTTTTTCTTTGCTCTTTTGGTTACCCCGAAGTTCCCTAAGTTCTCTGAAAATGTTCCTTTTTTCTTTGATTTTTGGAACCTTATTTTCTTCCGTATGTGAGGTTTTTGAGTTGTGCTCGAAAAACTTCAAATGCCTCCGTTGCAGAAAATGACAGGAAACACTACAAAGAGAAATGACAAAATGGTTATGTGATTGTTTCTGTTCCTTTTTCTCAAAGCAGGTCACACAGCCTTGATTGTCGTACGCGTGTTTTTGATGTACTAGTTAAACTTCCACACATGGTAGTTATTTATGGCTTGGCGTGTAACGTCTGCTGGCTTTAGCTGTCATGTTTTTTCAAATGCTGAGCTAGGATTTATTGCGGATGAGGCAAAGAGATATCAACCGCCTTGAACCATATCTCCTCTGGGATTTGCTTTGTTTTAAATTTTGAAAAGTCGCATGGATGAGCTCGCCTCATATTAGCTCGTCTTTATAGTCACATTGGCAAGCTTGTCCTACATCATCTCATCCAACTTCCATCTTTCGGGAAACCATACTTCCTCTAAACTAGATCTCCTTGGGGATTTACTCTGTTTTGGAAGTTCAAAAGTCACTATATGAGTTAGTTCAAAATGAGCTTGTTCAATTCGCAGATACGTCATCTAAAATTTTCATGGGTGAGATCGTTCCAAGATTAGATCGCCCAGATGCAACCATTTCCCCAAAGGCTCGCTGGTCGAGGATTCAATCTAAATGTATAACAACTCACTTAGGTCAGGTGTTCACATTTGGACATATACTCCATGTTGTAATCTTTTTTAGCGACGACTAACTAGGTCGTTCACGAACTCAAAAGGCTGTAAGCCTTGTTCTTAAAGTAGAACATTGGGCTACAAATGTAATTCCCCCCAATTCATCA